TTAAACCCCAGAAAGGAGAGAGAATAATAGTAATAATTTAAGAAATACTGTTAAAAATTTTTCCCATTTTATAAGGAACAAAATCTTATAACCAAAATGTTCAGCTAGTTCAGGATAAGTGATCTCTCTCTCTCTCTCTCTCTCTCTCTCTCACACACACACACACACACAAAACACACTACTAAATTAATCAAAGAAAAATGTAAATAAAAAGTGAAAACAAAAAATTTAAAAGCTGCCAGGGAGTAATATATTCCATGTTAGAGAAAAAAAATTATGATGATTGACTTCAGAAACAAAGGAACAACAAATTTAACTTGATGAAAGAGACAAAAACAAATCAAAATAATTCTGCCAATTTATAATTTTATATCAAGTATGTCATTTTAATATATAGTTAAAAATTAAGTGAGGTCTTCTGGTTCCATCAAGTAGCATCACTCCAAAAAGTTTCTCAGCAACTAAAAGGTATGCACACCTTGAGCAAGCATAGGAAGACCCCCCACCAAGAGTGAAAAGAACAAAGCAGACTTCACAGGGGTTTCTGGATTTAATAAATAACACAGTGGTGTGTTCTCTAGGCACCCTTATTACTTCCCATATGGCTCAGACTTCTGAAATGCTCAGAAGTCTCCAACATAGAAGGGTCAAAAAAGAGCAAAACAAACAAACAAAAATCTCCAAAGAAGCTGGGCATGGTAGGGTTAAGGTGCTGAGGCAAGAGGATCACAAGTTCAAAGTCTCCCTAGCAACCTACCAAGGCCCTAAGCAACTTAGACTCCTGTCTCAAAATAAGAAATAAAAAGGGCTGGGGATGTTGCTCAGTGATAAATAACCCCTGGTTCAATTCCTGGTATGAAAAAGAAAAGTTCTCCAAAATACAGTACTGGCAACAGATCAAACTACAGAAATCTTTGGTGATTTCTGCCCTACTTTAGATAGATATTATCAGTGTTTTCACTGATGAGTCCTGCCTACTCACATGATGAAGTTTGAACATTAGAGGAGCATGTCAAGGCAAGTATATAAAGTAGGGTTTATTTAAAAAGGGGTAATATAGACTTCTTTCGGGAGGGAGAAGAGGACCATAGCTGGTATCCTGGTATCCCCAGAACCAAGGTATTCTGAACTTTTTATATGGCCTACTCTTCCTTTGTTCTCCTGCCCTCTTGCCCTTATCTTTTTCCTTCCTGCATACTTGAACAGGCCCAGGAATGCTCAGTGGGAGGACCAAAAGGTGGGAAATAGGTGGGCTGAAGAGGGAAGAGCAGGGTGGTACAGCCCAGGACACATTAATTAACAACCTTATGGATCCCTGAAGAGAGGGGCAACTCCTGTTAGTCAACTGGCTGGAGCAGGGGCAAGTTCTTGATAAGGGTGGAGGAAGGGCTCTTAAGTAATTAACATTTCAATCCTTCAGGGGGCAGTCTCCAACTTCCCTTCATTCAAAGTTGGCTTCACTTGATCTGACCTGACTCGATTTACCTATCTATACTGACTGCCTGTCTAATTCTGGCTTCATCAGGACAAATATCACCTTCCAACACCCCCTACCCCCATGCTACCATTTCTGCAAAACTAAATGCAGAATTGTTATTAGTCTCCACCTCAGCCCTCTTTGCTCACCAGCAATTGGAGCTCTAATTCCCCCTCCATAGTAATGTTAATGAGGTTGCTTGGGAAGCTGATCCTGAGCCACAGTCATATTCAGAAGCAAGAAGGCAACACAACACTGGGATGTAAACTTGCAACTCCCCAGAGAGCAATGAGCAGCACCATGAGTCAGTGCCCTATTTTTATTAGTCTTGTGTCAAGGGGACAGGGAGAAGCTGATTTCACACTCCAATTCAGAAGCAACCAAATGGTGAGGTCTGTGTCCCACTTCCACAGGAGAAGTAAGACAATATCAGAATAGCCAACAGGAGAAATAGACTTCTACCCCACCATCCATCTGCAGTGAGATGGTGTAAGTCAATGCCCTGATTTTCGGAAGATGCTGTCAGAGGGAAACTGTGGGAAGGGGCAGCCAAGACTCCTGTCTCTCTGCTACAACATAGCAGGAAAACTGCATTAGGGGAAAAGGGGTTAGTTCATAGAGTCTTACAATTAAATATCCAAAATGTCTACAAAGCAATAGAAAATCACTCATTATGACAGCAACCTGGAAACCACAACATGAATGAGAAAAGACAACAATGTTGAGATAATTACAGTGAGAATTTTCATCTGACAAAGATTTTATGCAACATTATTTAAAAATACTTCTGTGAGTTAAAATTTGTTTTGAATTTGTAAACATCACAAAAGAAATATAAAAAAGAATTAATAAGTATTTCCAGTCTCCTTAATTTCTACTTACCAGGCACTTTTCCTGAGTTAATATTCTCATTAGGTATGTTATATATTTCTAGTATTTTTAACCTTACATTCAGAAAGCATATCTGTCTCTTTTGCTATAGTTTTTTTTTTCAAAATCTTTCAAAGCTATTTTCTTTAATTTAAAAAAAAAATTTAGTTATCAATGCATATTTATTTATTTATTTATATACAGTGCTGAGAATTGAACCCAGTGACTCATGTATGCTACACAAGTGCTCTACCACTGAGCCACTACTGCAGCCCCTATTTTCTTTAATTTATTATAAGCAAAAATCGTTTTCTATTAATGTTCAGCTCCAAAGGTAATTTTTTAAAACTGTAGAACTTTTAAAACTTTTCAACTTATTTGAAAATATTATCCCTCACAGAAAAATTGCATAAAATGCATTCTGAGATGCATTCAGTTTTAGCCTGATATATATTTTTCTTTGATATTATAATGTTAATAACATAGAAAAATATTAATAGACATTATAAATTTATATAAAAAGGAACTAAATGGAAATTATAAAAATAAATACAGTTACAACAATAAAACTCATTGGTTGGACTCAATAGTAAAAGAAAGATAACATAGGAAGTAATCAGAGGATATACAAACAAAAATAATTTCAAGTCACATAGGAAAAGAGGAGCAGGCCCCCAATTGGGCTGAGGGAGCTGAAGCCCCCCCATCCCTCCCGAGATGTGGCATTTCTGAGGCTCATCCAAGGTCCAACCTAGCTCCTAGGCACTGGGAGTGATCTGGTTGAGGACAAAGGCCTCCTCTAGCTAGCAGGCCAGAGGAGACACAGATGAAACTCTCCCAAGGAATCCCTGAAGATCCTCCAGAATTGTCTGTACTTGCACCCCTGCAAGGCCTGTCCCTCAGCGCATAAGCTGAGCCTTTCTGGGCAGACCATCCTCTTGGTGCTGCAGATATGCAACTAGTTCATCTAGGTCCGTTGGCAGCTTCTTCCAGATGTGCTTTGGAAGGACTGTAAGGATCCTAATCAGTTCATCATTTTCTGCCTTAGTGGTAAGGCCTCAGAAGTGGCCCTGTCTGGTGAAAACAGCCCCTTGGTATTGGCCATATCTGTACCCCAACCAAAGTGCTCTCTTTGTGTGTTTCATGACATTCCACATAGGCTAGGGTGAAAATCCAGCACCCCCTTCCCACAGGGGGAACTGAGGTCCCCCAAGTCCCTAGTGATCCCTGGTAGTACACTTGCCCTGCTGACCAGGACAGATGCTGGGAGTTCTGCAGGTGGATTCATCAACACACTACCACCCACACTCCCAGAGCAGGACAAGAAGGACTTCAGCAGTTCCCATCTGTTGGAAGAGGTGGCTGTGGGGAGCCATTCTCACACGTGACTGGGCAACTCCCGGTTTGGGTCTGAGGCACTCTGGCTAAACTGTGTCGGAGCTTTCCCAACCCTCTTCTGGTGCGAGAGCCTGTCCGTGTGGGGGTATGACTTGACCACTGACCCTGGGGCCAATCACTGACCCTGACCTTGGAGTGCTGCCCCCCTCAACCTTCATTGGATGGAATTCTCCCCTAAATTTCTTGTTCCCCAATAAAAGGCTACTCCCTGGCATGCTCTCTCTCTCTCTTCCTGCTAGCCCTGAGTAATCCCTGCTGCCCTACCGGGTAGTTCGAGGTGTGAGTCAGAGGGAGAGTTGTCTCAGACCTGGTCATAAAAAAAGGTAACTGAGTCTGTGTGTTTATTTCGATCTCACTAGCTAACTTTTATGCCAAGAACCTCTTTAATGAAACCAGTGCGCTGGTCACATGGTGGAATTTGGCACCCACGAGGGGGGGCATTCTAGATTAGCTAGATTGAGTGGGAACGCGCTATAAAGATAAAGATAAAGGAATTGGTGACAATTTAGAGTCACAAAAGTACCTGGAGATATTGAAGGAAAGAGACGTTAAATTAATTAAAATGAGAAATTCAACTTCTACGGATAAGGAAATGTATCTGACTATTTTAGACACTATAATTAATCAGAAAGGAAAACAGATAAAGAAGGCTCAGTTATTACAATTCTTAAAGATCGTAGGCGAATTTTGCCCTTGGTTTTGTGAACAAGAGTCCCCAAATTTACTTACTTGGGAGAAACTAGGAAGGAAGTTACAAAAAGTTTGTCTTTCTAATGAATTACCTGGAGGCATAGAAAATATTCAGAAAACTTGGACGGCTCTGGAAGTTTGTCTTTTTGAATATATGGGCCAGAGTTCATGGCCCCCTGAAGATCTATTAAAAGGCATTCAGAGAACTATTAGGTCTATTCAAATGGAAAATCCGCCTGAGGCTAAGTTAATACCCTTTCCCTTGAGCAGTTTAAAAACAAAGGCTCAAGGGGCTAAAGGGAAAGTTAGGAAAGTGACTTTAAACTTGCATGATCAGGCTAGCCCGCAGGGAGATTATAGAGAGGAAGGTCATAGAGAAGAAACCTCCACAGTCCTAGAAAGTCCTCCAGAAGAGGTAGACGATCTTCCTGGAGAAGAAAATCCGGAAGAGATTCTTAGAGAGGCACAGAGTCCTTCTCCACCACGTGGCTTAGAAGCCCAATTTCAAAATGGCGACAGCGCAGATTCTTCCCACGACTCGCAGTCCGAGGGAGAAGAATCAGACGTTGAAATTCAGGACTTACAGAGAAATTTTAACAGGCTGTGTTTAACACTGCCTGCCCAGGCTATTCAAATTCGGCCATTACCTGCTAAAAGGACAAAATTTAACAGGTACTCTGAATTAACAATGACTTTTCTTACCCCGTTCCAGCGAGGTATTAAGAAAGCACAGGAAGCCAGGGAAGATATTAGCGGTTTTCAACTTTTTCCAGTTTTTGAACAAGTTAATGAGCAAGATCAGAGAGTTAGGGTTCATGCTGTAATCCCATTTAAAACCATTAAGGAACTAAAAAGTGCATGTGAGACGTATGGTCCGAATACGCCTTTTGTACAGAGCCTGATAGATAATATTTGCTCACAGCCCCTCCCATCTAGTGATTGGATTTCTTTAGCTAGATCTTGTTTGAGTGGAGGAGATTTCTTACTTTGGCGTTCTTATTGGACTGATTTTTGTACTGAACAGGCAGAAAGAAATAGAAGACAGAATTTACAGACTCCAGTAGAAATGTTTTTAGGAACAGGTGAATTTGCTGATTTAGAAAGACAGTTAAATTATGAATTTGTAATATATGATCAAATAACTGATTGTGCGAAACATGCCTGGAAGCAGATAGTCTCAAAAGACCAATCCAATTTAGTTCTTACCAAAATCAGGCAGGGTGCGAATGAGCCGTACTCAGATTTCGTAGCCCGATTGTACCAGACCGCAAACAGGTCGATCGGGGACCCGGGGGCATGTGAGTTTATTGTTAAGCAATTGGCATTTGAAAATGCAAATAAATATTGTCAGGACGTTCTTAGGCCGCACCGTAAAAAAGGGACAGTTTCTGAATTTATCCGCTTATTTTCTGAGATAGACTCTACCCATTTGCAGACAGTAGCCCTAGCTGTGGCACTGAAAGAAACGTTAAAGCCGCAAGAATTAGTAATGAAAGCCCCGCGGGAGATGCTATATTTGCGGGAAAAATAACCATTTTGTGTGCGCGGATGTCGCATACGCAATTTTAAGTTCAGGGCTCCATCTACTGGTGATAATAGATATTGCAGGACTCAATCCCACATGGTGAATCAAGATGGCGCGAATGAGCCCGCCTTCTTGTCATCATTTCCGCCTGGCCAGAACACAAACTTCCAGTCGGCCCTCCCCCAGCTGAGAATGAGGAAGTAGGTGATGGTCGCGCAATGTGACGTCATCGCATCAACCATGGGGGCCGCCATCTTTAATTTTACCGGAGCAGAACAAACAGTTTCCGTAAAAACCCCTAATGATTTTCAAAAGCTATTAGGAGATATTAATTGGCTGAGGCCATCCTTAAAACTAACTACTTCTGAGTTAAGTCCTTTATTTCAGATATTACAAGGAAATCCTTCTCCAACCTCTCCACGTCAGCTAACCTTAGAAGCTAAAACAGCTTTAAAAAGAGTTGAGTGTGCAATTAAAAATGCACAGCTTACTAGAATTGATCCTAAAGAAATAGTGTATTTATTAATATTTCCAACTGAGCATACTCCAACAGGAGCCATATGGCAAAGATTAGGAGTTATTGAGTGGATTTATTTATCCCACTCCCCTCAAAAAACATTAATTCTTTTTCATGATTCCATAGCTCAATTAGTAATTAAGGGCAGAACTAGGATTTTACAATTAATTGGATCTGAGCCTGATGTCATAATTATTCCATTTTCTGTTCAACAGACTAATTGGCTTTTTCAAACTTCTAACTCATGGCAGATAGCTTTTGCTGATTTTCCTGGCCAGATAGATAGCCATTACCCTCGTGATAAGATTATCCAATTTGCATCATTAACGTCACTTATTTTTCCAAAGATTGTACGTGCACATCCTATAGATGAAGTTTTATTGGTGTTCACTGATGGTTCAAGCTCAGGTAAAGCAGGTTTTTATAGTCATGTTCACACAGAGGTAATGCAAACTTCTTATACTTCTGCCCAAAGAGCAGAGCTTCAAGCTCAGATTTGTGCCTTAAATTACTTTTCAAATGAGCCTATTAATATTTATTCTGACAGCTTATATGCAGTCGGAGTTACCAAAAATATTGAAACTTCAGTTATTGGGTATACTTCATCACAAGAGTTATTTGAATTATTTCATAATTTACAGAAGGCATTGCTAATGCGAAAATACCCATGTTTCATAGGACACATACGAGCTCATACTAATCTTCCAGGACCTTTAGTTTCAGGTAATGACAAAATTGATAAATTAGTAACTTTTTGTCAACAGATGTCTTCATATGACTGTGCACTAGCTTCCCATTCCTTGCATCATCAAAATGCTTCTAGCTTACGTAAAAAATTTAATATTACCAGAGAACAAGCTCATCAAATTGTAAGCCAATGCCCTAAGTGTGTTATTCGCACTCCATCTCCACCATCAGGGGTAAATCCCCATGGATTAAAAACAAATCAAATATGACAAATGGATGTAACTCATATTCCTCAATTTGGTAAACAATGTTATGTGCATGTCATAGTGGACACTTATTCCAGATTTATTTTTGCCACAGCATGTACTAAGGAAAATACTCAATATGTAATTTCTCATTGCCTAGCAGCTTTTTCTGTGTTAGGGTGCCCTATGCAGATTAAAACATATAATGCTCCAGCTTACGTAAGTTCTTCTTTTCAAAAATTTTGCCAAGAGTTTCAAATTAATCATAAAACAGGAATTCCTTATAACCCCCAAGGTCAAGCCATTGTGGAACAAGCTCATTTATCTATTAAGCTTCAATTACAAAAATTAAAGGGGGGGAATAGGATTATGACTCCTCAAAATAGCCTCAATCATGCTTTGTTCATTTTAAATTTTTTAAACTGTGACGCTGAAGGTCACACTGCTGCTGAGAGGCAAATGTCTCCCTCAGTAACAGGCCCTTTAGGCAGAGTTTTGTGGAAAGATTTACAGACCGGTCAATGGAAAGGCCCAGACCCAGTGCTTATGTGGGGCAGAGGTCATGCTTGTATCTTTCCAGAAGGTGCTTTTCGTCCTATTTGGATGCCTGAACGCGCAATCAGACATGGAAGAGATAGAACCCAATTCAAGCGACTGAAGATCGACCCAGAGGAGCCCCTATCCAAAAGGAAGAGACATCGGAAAAATGAAGAAAGACCAGATTGACCCAGCCGAAAAGCTGATTTCATGGGAAGACGTGAAGAAGCTAACAACACAGGCTTCCTGAATACTTTGACTCCTAGGAAAGAAGAGGACCCCAGTGATGATGGTAGCAACAGTAATTGCCCTGCTGGGCTGTCAGGTAAAGGGGAATCAGATAGACACTTACTGGACATATTTCCCAGATCCACCCCTGGTATACCCAGCTGTGTGGACTGGAGAATCTATTCCAGTATTTACTAATGACTCATTCATGATGGGAGGATTTACAGATACTCATATTACTCCCAATCATGTGACTAGATATAATTATTCTGGCTACAGTGCCCAATTATCTTTGTGTTGGTTCCACGATAAACATGCTGGCTGACTGAAAGTATCATTCGAGGAAAAGACAGCGATTGGTAGACCTAGACTGACAAATAATTCTATTTATGGAGACTTAAAACCTTATACTAGATCAGTAATTAAGATGGGACTTTCCCATAACAAGCCAGTCATTTCTGCAAAACCTCCACAGATACCCCACTGTCCAAATAGTTCTACAATTGAGATTGGCACCTTTCCTAGATGGATGGATTGTGTAAATACTTTTCCTGTACAACATAAGGTGTCTAAAGATAGTGGGTATATTTTAGACTGGTCTCCAAAAATTGATGAGAGACAATTACGAAGAAATTCTGCTATGACACCTGCAGGATTTGTTAGTAATATTTTGACTTATAGTGAAGGTGGTATTCAAAAGGATGTTTGGTGCTTAATTGCTGCCTCAGAATTCTTACATTTTACAGACAAGCCTTTACCAAAATTTGTTGGCAAGAACTGTAAGGAGGGATCTTGCTATGGCTTATGAGCCTGTGTCCAGTCTCCTTATGTTTTAATTATTGGAAATGTAAAAGTTAAATGGATAGATGACAGATATATTGTTACTTGTAACAAATGTAACCTAACCAATTGTATTACTAGGTATAATGGAGGAAAAGGAGTGCTGATACTTCATCAGCCCTCTTTTGTTTTATTACCTGCTAATATTTCAGAGCCATGGTATGCTGATACTGGTTTACAAGTCTTGCAGCAAATTCATGCCCAGCTAGCAAGACCTAAATGTGCTATTGGAGTTATAATTGTTGGTGTTTTGGTGCTAGTCTCTTTTATTGCCTCCACTGTCTCTGAATCTCTGACATTGTCTCAAAATATTCAGCATGCAAAGTTTCTTAATAATTTAGCTCAAAATACTTCCAAGGCTCTGCATAATCGAGTAAATATTGATGAAAGGATTGAGACTAAATTAAATGCCTTAGAGGTGACTGTTATAGACATAGGTAATGAACTTTCAGCCTTAAGATTTAAAGAAAGGCTTAAATGCCACGCAAATTATAAATATGTGTGTGTTACAGCTGCCAAGTACAACGCTCCTCTCTGGGATTGGGAGAAGGTTAAAAACCATTTGTTAGGTATTTGGCAAAATAGTAATAATAGCTTGGATATTCTGGAACTTCATCACCATATCCAAGACATTCAAAGTAATAAAACTGATTTTTCGGATCCTTCTTTTTTGGCTAACCAAATATTGAAGGAGTTGAATGGATTCAACCCTGGAAATATTCTTAAACACTCAGCCTGGTACATTATTGGATTATTCTCTTTGCTGTTAATTCTCTTTTGTGTTGTAATTATAGGATGGCGAGTCTTCGGAACAAGAATACAGAAACTCCAAAGAGTGAAACACTGCCTCATTTTTAAGAAAAGAAAGGAGGAATATGTGGGGAGCCATTCTCACACGTGACTGGGCAACTCCTGGTTTGGGTCTGAGGTGCTCTGGCTAAACTGTGTCGGAGCTTTCCCAACCCTCTCCTGGTGCGAGAGCCTGTCCGTGTAGGGGTATGACTTGACCACTGACCCTGGGGCCAATCACTGACCCTGACCTTGGAGTGCTGCCCCCCTCAACCTTCATTGGATGGAATTCTCCCCTAAATTTCTTGTTCCCCAATAAAAGGCTACTCCCTGGCGTGCTCTCTCTCTCTCTCCTGCTAGCCCTGAGTAATCCCTGCTGCCCTACCGGGTAGTTCGAGGTGTAAGTCAGAGGGAGAGCCGTCTCGGACCTGGTCATAAAAAAAGGTAACTGAGTCTGTGTGTTTATTTCGATCTCACTAGCTAACTTTTATGCCAAGAACCTCTTTAATGAAACCAGTGCGCTGGTCACATGGTGGAAGGTGGCCATGCAGAGAGGTGCTGAGATGGAGCTTCAGAAGCAGCAGGACCTAGCACCAAGATCCTGCACACTCCTATGTCTTTTAGTTTCTGAGAACCCCAAGTAGGCCCAACAGGGGTACTCAAGGAGATTCAAGCCATCTGTTCTGGGTTCAGGGTTCACTTCCCTTCTAGAGAGTTTTCTATGGATCACTGCCAACCACGGGGTTCATCTCCTCTGTCCAAAGATCTTCAGCAGGAAAATGCAAGCTGGCATCACTGCATTGTGACAGGGATCTCTCTGCTGACTCTGTCTCCAGGCCACGTCAGTGATGAGACTAAGAGACCAAAGATAGGCATAGTGCTGCTGTTGCTTCTCCAGAGAATCCCTGGGATCTGTTGTTCCAGGCTGCTTTCCTAGGCTGGGCCCAGGAAACTTGCTAACTTCAGACCTATGTGGACCTGTTCTGGGTCCACAGTTCTCCTGAGTTGCGCCTCTTTCTGTCAAGCCAGAAGTGGACATTCCAAGTTCATAAGTGTGGGCAAAAGAGGGGCCTGGGACATGTAACAGCACCAACTTTTTTTCTAAACTGTTTTTTTTTCCCTGTTTTTCTGTGGTTTACATTAATGGGGATAATTAGCCTTGGTGTGGGGAATGAGAATGCATTGCATGATGGTGGAGAATGTCTAATCTTCTGCTGGGAATGATCCATCTCTGCAATTGCAGATTGTTGTACAAGGGCAGAGTATTTTATTTGGAAACTAGCTAAATCTTTGCATAGTGAGAAATTCCAAATGGCTGTTTTGTTGTTCCTTTGATTTACCAAAAAGCAGCTTGGCACAGAAAAATGAACTTGGCATTGGCCCTGTTGCATCAAGCAAGTAAGGGTATAGCCAGAGCCAAGGGAGGGACCAACAGAACCTCACTAAACCTAGACATAGAGCAGAGAGAGATAATAAAACCAGAGAGATTTTTGTTTTTACTGTGTTGGGGTGGGGAGATGGTAAGCTACACTGAAATAATGGTCTTTTTTGTTATTGCTGATGATGTTATTTTACCCCTCTCCTCTATTTTTTTTTGAAGGCTTTGCCCTGCAACCTGAGTTTTAAAATTCTTTAGGAACTTAGGGCTGGAATATTAGAAACTTTTAGCATTTCCATGTGAAGAGCAGTGAGCTATCTGATGGTTAGGAAGCCCTTCCAGCTGCTAGAAGGAGCAGCTTTTCCCACAAAGGTGGTAGGAATCTGTCTCTGGAGGAAGCAGGGAATGGCGCCTGCAGTGGGGCTGGAAATGAGCTAAAAGCCCCTGCCTGAGTTTCCCTGAGTTTCACATCTGGTCTTCATCTGCTTCCCTCCCCCCACTTTGTATTTTGCCATTTCATTGCTGATAGTTTTTAATGACAGTATACTCCATTTTTATATATCTTAAGAAACACTAGGGAGGGGAGAGAATGGGAGGATAGGAAGGATAGTAAGAAAAATGAGAAATTATATCCCATCTGATTCAAATGAATGATATGTCAAGGTCATTGTACTGTCATGTGTAACTAATTAAAACAAATAAAAATTAATAATAAAAAAAGAAACACTAATCCCAGATTTTTATTAGCCAAAATATTTTTGTTTTAAATAACAATGTTATTGGGCCAAATAATAGGCCAGGAGCTCTGGCCTGTAGTTTCCTGAAATTGCCAGGTTGGGCATGAGGGGAAGTAGTTCCTGGGTGTTGACTAACTTGGGCATGACAAGGGCACATGCTTAGTGTTTTCTAGGAGGATCCCTGACACCCTCAGGGAGGCTCCCCTACCTCTTCTGAGTGACTTGGTTCATCCCTTGAGCGAGGGAATAGGTTACTTACAGAGAGGGAGTTTTTCCTTCTGTGGATGAGCAGGTTTCCTAGGCGCTCTGTTCTGCCTCCCTCTGGCCTCCTATGCTACAGGCAATTGGGTGTCATCACCCTTATCAGGCCCAGGTGGGGAAGGTTCAATATGGCAATTTCAAGGTTAATTGAAGCTGCTGTGCTTCCCCCTCTTCCAATCCAGCAGTGTCTGTGGGTCCAGGTCTGACATAACTGTTGGAGGATGTGGAGGATGCCTGCAATAGGTGAGTCAGAGCATATTGGGCTGGAGTGGGATTTTCCCTTCCTACAGTGCACTGAACTGGGAATGAGCGAGGAGAGAGGAAGCCCTAGTGCTGAATTCTTTCTGCCATTCCCTACTGTATAAAATGGGGCCTCTGAGGGTGGGGCAGCCTCTGCTTTGGTTTGGTTGTGAGATAAACCTGGAGGAGAAAGCACAAATTGTCCCCTGAAATTATTTGAGCAAAAACCTACTATAAATAACTTTGTTTTTGTCTTTTGTAAAATGAAGTTGTTTTTTTTTTTTTTTGTTTATTTTTAAATCAAACAAAAAGAAATCTATACACAACTATCAGGATAGCTAATATAAAAATCAGTTGTAAGGGTCCGGCGAACGTCGGAGGAAGAGACCACCAAGAGACCGCGGCTCATGCAACAGCAAAAGGGGTTTATTGAGGATCCATTCCAGTGCACTGGGTCTCTGTGCTCACTCAAGAAAGGAGAGCAGCCCAGAGCCCAGAGCAGGGGTTGTGCAATGCTTAAGTACACTTTTGGGGGAGGGCGGGACTTTACATACATCACAGTCTCCTTTAACAAATCATCATACACTGCGGGAAAATCAAACAACTCCTAAACATGATTAGTTCATTCATTGGGGGGAACAGGTTGGGCGGGAGTGATAGGCCAGTTCTAAAGCGGGGTACACATTCAAACTGATTGGTTTAGGCCCTGCGATGTCTACGTGCAAGGTCACACAGAGGGTCCTAGGTTATCAAACAACCAGGCAATCAGGGGAAATATTTACTGGGCGGTTTCCAAGCATTGTCTTAACAGCTACAGGAATTTCAGGTTTTGCGTGTAGCCAAGGAACTTAACAATGCCTGGTCCTTTACATTTTAACTCGGGCCTTGCAGCTTAGAAACTTTACAATGCCCGGTCTTTCACATTTTAACTTTTACACTTTAACTTCAATTTCTTTTACCCTTACACAGTGATAATCAAAATTAATTAAAAACTACAGTATGAATATCCTATAATAAATTTCATTTATATGTAGATGTATGTATGTAATTTTAATGCACTAATTAAAATAATTGTAATAATAATAAATAATAATAAGAGGGAGATCAGTAGGAAGGTAGAACAAGGGAATCAGGGTGGGGAGAAGAGTACAAAGGGAAGGTCTTAGGGAATGAGATTGGTCAAATTATGGTCTGTGTATGTGCAAACATGGCATAATGAATCCCACTAATAAGTATAATTATAATGCACCAATAAAAACATTTAAAACACTACATTGTAGGCAAGGATATAAAATAGTACAGCCACTTTGGAAAACCCTGTTTTCTTAAAAACCAAGTCCACATGATTTAACAATTGCACTATTTGGCATCCCAGAGAAATGGAAACTTATGTTTACATAAAATGTGAACACAAATTTTCATAGGAAACTGGATAAAGGGAAAGTGGAACCTCTCTGTATTATTCCTTACAATTACATGTTAATCTATTTGGGGAGGATGGTTCCATGTGTGATGTCTTGGGTTCAGTCCTTAGAACCAAAAAGGAAAAGAAAGTTTTAAAAACAAGAATCATATTGAAGCCAGATTTAAAGATAGGTAGTCAGTGTAGTTAGGTAAATTGGGTCTAAAATATCGAGTAAAATCCAAAATGAAGGCCATGTTGAGAATGAAGTCCGGGAAAAGCAGAACAACTCTTGGAATGTTAATGTCTCCAAGGTCCAGAGCCCATCCCAAAGAAGTATTAATGAAACAGCTCCCTGAAAACTTGAAGATGCTGACCCAAAAGTCCTTCCTGCCCAGATTACTCCTTTGGCCCACCTGTGCCCCACCCTTAACAGAATAAAGGACAGGAATGTGACAGGAAGGTGGGAAAGCTAAAAGAAGACCTTAGCTATACAAATTGGAGACAACCACCCTTCCACGGATTCCACCTCTTGGGTCCCCATTTCTTGGGTCCCCTTCTTCCTCCGGGAGAAGTCTTTTCTGCTGTCCTTTAATAAAGCCTCTACTTTCCACTCTAACCTTGCCTCGGTGTGCTTCTCTGGTGTTACACTTCAGCATTGGGGAAGCAAGGACTCATCACAGGTGAACAACGGTAACAATATTAGTGAAATCCGAATTGATTTATTTCCAGCAGTTACACATTGTAAGAAGTGTTCAAGGTTGTTATTACTGGAGGATAAAATACCAGATGAGAGTCTGGGTCTGTTATGCTCAAGTTTGGGACCCCCAAAAGACCACCAGAGACCAAGATCGATGTAAGCAGCAAAGAGGTGTTTATTGCGAGCTAGCTTGGTCCTCTGCGTGCACACAGCAACTGGTGACACTTAGAGGTCCCAAGCCCAGGGTTTACAGCAGTTTTATACACCCTTTGGGGAAGGCAGGGACCCCCACATACATCATAGCATCTCTTAGAAAA